ATTATCGTTGTACAATAAATTTCACAGTATTTCTCATTTTGGCTAGCTGGCGCGATCATTTGCATTTTGTTCTTACATCCTGTAACACCTTGACTGTTTGATTCCCAAATTTGCCTTTCATTTCTCCCCCTTTTTTTAAACGCCTCGGTCAACAACTTACTTTTCACCAATGTAGAATAACTTTTTAGAAACTTATAAAATCTTTTAAAGGCATGTTTTTCCTACATTAAAATCTCTCTTTCTCTTTATATAGGAATCTTTTAATTAATGTTAAATTATACTGAAAAACACTAAAATTGTTCATTTATAATTTATCACGTATGTATGAAAACCATGCTTACTACTGATTAAATTGTTTAACTCATATCTGTACAGCTAATGACGTCCGTTTCGATGGTATTGCAACCACTAAGATTCTATTGATACCACTAAGAAACCTGTAAGGTCAAGATAAAAAAGAAGAAAGGTACAAACAGAGAAAATGTTATACTGACATTGATGCTGGTTGTATGGGTATGGGTGTCAAAAGGATTCCATTGACTTGTAAAGAAAAACCATGGAAGATCAAGAGAAATCAATAAAGGTCAGAAGAAACCAGTAGAAAGCTTTCCTGATTTCTTTGGGGAATTTTTAGCAGGGTAACTTACAGGGGTGGCCAAAATTGTGGACACTTTTGGAAATTTTTATGTTTTTGAACTTTGTATGCTTATAGAAAAATGTTACGTTTCGCAAAATGCAAACTTGTATATATCATTTTAAAGAGAATGTATTACTGAAATCAATACAAAACACAAAATTCAATTATTTGCAATACAAAAAAAGTTATATGTACTTTAATATAAATAAAAAACACAGTTATGAAGTGGTTTGTAATGTCTAGCTTTCCTGGCCAATCACTGTTCTTGTTCTGAGAACCAATCAAATGTTAGTAACTGCCAGTAGAAGCTGACATCATGTTTACTCCTGAAACAATTCATTATTTTGCTTTGTTCTGTAGAAGGAGGACCTGTTTCTTATACACTGCAATTACAAGTAGGAAATTTTGTAAAAATTTTTAATATTTAGTCAAGAAGCAATGACATCAAATAAAAGAGTAGATTGGACACCTAGAAAGAGATGTAATATTATTGTGTTACGAGATAGTGGTATTTCCTATACTGAAATTGCAAGACAGGTGGGTGGTTCAGTGACTACATCTGGAGTTCGAAAGTTTTGTTTACGATATCAGGAAACAAATTCAATAAAAAACAAAGAAGGAAAAGGCCGAAAAAGGTGCACCACATCTATTGATGACAGAAGAATAAAAAGACTATGTTTCCAAGATAGAAAAATGTCAACAGCGGCCATCAGAAGTGATCTGAATGATGCTGGTGTTTCTGTCAGTTCAAGAACAATTAGGAGAAGATTAACAGGTGTTGGACTCTGAGAGGTAGAATTCCACGAAAAAAGCCTTATCTTAATTTTCAGCAACGAAAAAAAAAAGACTACAGTGGCCAAAGGAACACATTAATTGGACAGATGATCAGTGGTCACAAGTTATATGGAGTGATGAAACTAAGATATCGTTATTCGGTAGTGATGGGAGAAAATATGTAAGACGTAGAATAGGAGAAGAGCTACATCCTGACTGCATTCAAGCAACTGTGAAGAACCCAGTTAGTGTTATGATTTGGTCATGCATGTCAGCAGATGGTATTGGTCGCCTTCATGTCATCGATGGGACACTGAATGCCAGAAAATACATTGACACTATTCTAGAACCAAAACTTCTACCTTCCATCAGAGATCTCTTTCCCAACAATGCTTCGTTTATTTTTCAGCAGGATTCTGCTCCTTGCCACACGGCCAAAATATCGAGAGTGGTTTCGTACAAAGAGCATTAAATTGTTGTCATGGCCAGGAAACAGTCCTGACCTCAATCCTATCGAAAATTTGTGGCACCATTTGAAATCTCTTGTCCGAATGAGGCGCCCATCAAAATAAAAGGAAACTAATTGAGGCTATAATTGTTTCCTGGCATCATGTAATAACGAAAGAAGAGCTTAAAACTCTTGTCAGCTCAATGAAACGTCGATGTGAAGCTGTAATCAAAAATAAAGGGTACCCTATTAAGTATTGATAACTCACTGCAATCATCACTATCTAATGTATATCGATAACTATTATGGTTTAAGTTTTTTTGTATTGCAAATAATTGAATTTTGTGTTTTGTATTGAATTCAGTAATAAATTCTCTTTAAAATGATATATACAAGTTTGCATTTTGTGAAACGTAACGTTTTCTATAAGCATACAAAGTTCAAAAACATAAAAATTTCCAAAAGTGTCCACAATTTTGGCCACCACTGTAAGTTCTTACTTTAATTTAGCTACTTTTTTGGATGTTTCCATTATAGGACAACACGCATGAAACATTTTCTTAGAGAAAATTATACGCACCAACATTACTTATTCGTCATCTTTAAATTAAACGTGTTGTTATTATCTTTTTTAACGGTGTTCTTGTTTCCAGTAAATATTGTCAGTTAATTGTTTTAAAAGTGTGTCATTCTGTTTCTTGTGTGCCGTTCTTTGTTTTTTTTTGAAAAACGCAACAAATATCTTAGTATTAGAAAATTTTTATTGTATTCAGAATGGATTAAGATTTGTTAGGCTACGTATAGCAAACACACTATATTTTATGTTTAAAAAAAAAGCACATAAAAGAAACCTCTTCTGAAAACTTCATTTTTGCATTGTGTATTTTAAGAAATTAATTCAAACATAGTTCAGAATCTTTCAACTAAAACCTAGTTTTTACTTAGACCAAGACGTTTTAACTGATCTCTTATATTGTTCTTCATAAGAAAAAAATCTGATGTGTACACCACATGACTTCCTTGTACAGAATATTAAATTATATGCATTTTTTTCTTGAATTGCATTTAAATTGATTGGATTGAATTAAATTTACTTCGTCGACAGCGCATAAACCACAATAGAATAAATGCACTCTTTAAAATTCACTATATTTATTTACTATAACGATACTCTGAATGCACAAAATTTATATCATTTGAAGAATTATCGTTGCCACATGTTCTATTCAAATACTATAATAAAACTAAAACGATGTATGAAAGAAATTAAGCAAACAAAACGAAACAGAAACAGTTTTTCACAGACGATTTAGTATTTCTCATTCAACTAATTCAGTTCTCACTTCGCGAGAAGGCAAAAATACATAAAAACTCAAAATATCTGCATGAAAAATTACGAAGTAAATCTTAAACACTTATTTCCTCGAAGAAATTCCAGAAAGGATTAAGCATGATTTAATTCGCAATAATAAAAATGAAGGCGTTATCTTTGTTGTTGCGAAGCTTAGTTCTCTCTAGATTGGCAACAAATCTACTATTCTGCTGTTTCAAATGTAAACAAGCAATGTGGCCGCCATGTTAAATTAAAAATTAGGCTTAAAGCCGCACTTAAACAAGCTTTTAAAATTGTTGATAATTGTAAAAGATATTGCTTCCAGAATTTACTAAAGGCATAAAAAACCTTAACCGGAAGATAAGAACAACATATATTCAATCATTTTTAAAGCAAAAAATGTACAATTTACAAACATATAAGAGTAAAGAAACTGAGATCACTGAGCCGGGTAACGAGTGGATATATATATAAATATATTTATATACGTTTGGCGCGGCCGATTGCAACCAAAATACGAGGCGCACATCTACATGTTATAGCAGTCCTATATACAAAATTTCAACGTTCTGAGGCTCTCGTTTTTGAGTTATGCAAGATACGTACGTACGTACATACGTTCGTACAGACGCCACGAAAAATTCTCTTCAGAATTAATTTTAAAGCAGTTTTATAATTTTTTTGGAGGAAAAGAGGGTACTTTTCCGTTTTGCCGGCGCAAGTGATAAAGTCGCCAATAACGGTACAACCGATGCCAAACGGAATATTCTCGCTGGTAACCGTTTACGCCTCATTTTCAAAACAAGCCGCAGCTTTTTCTTATCAGATTGATTGTTTCTTTCAATACTGGCATATAATTTTTATCAGATAGTTCGGTTTTATGTCTAAGGCCATTTTGGGTAATTAAGTCAATTAGAATGCAATCACAGCTCTTACCCGAAGCCGAAAATATAGAAAAGGAAAGTCAAGGGTTAAATTCATCAAATTCTAATGAGAATGCATTAGTGAAGTAAAGCACTGCAGTTTTACATAATTTCTGAGTAAGCTATTCGTACGCATTGAAATATTTCTTGCATTTAAACTTGTGTTCCAAATTAAGATTTAACTTGAAATTAATGTAGATAATTACTGAGAGCGTCAGATTTTTGTAGAGTAGTTTACGTGAGATGAAATCGCTTGGGGTCACGTGATATGAACCGGCGAATCAGGCTGTTGAACCATGAAAGCATAGTAAATTCTTAAATTAATGTCTTTTTACAAATTTATTGTCTTTATTTATTGGCTTTTTATAAAGTTTTAAGCGATATTAAAATGTTTATGCCTTTAAAAAAAGAATTCTTAGAACTAAAATTTTTTAAATATTTTTTATGTGTATACTGTATGTTGTCGCCAATAAAGTCTGCTTGGCGATATTTGCGCCGGCGAAACGGAAAAGTACCGAAAAGAGTCTTTTATTCTGTCCTTTACAGATATCAAGCAAAAACATCGTTAAATTGCATTCGATAGCGGTCAAAATGGATACTTCGTTGAAATATGTTGCCTGAAACTTTTCGTGATTACAATACTTCCTTTTTACTTCGTACAACGAAGTAAAAATACTGGAAATTGAAATCTCACATTTTGACAAAGTTCAAACTAAAAAAAAATCTCATTTTGAGTTTATTTCATATTTCAAAGACAGGAGGTTTCCTGTACTTCTACAAGTATTACTGAAGAGTGGTGTTGTGCTATTTAATATTGTTATCTAAAATACACCATATTCGCATAAATTGATTAAAAAAGCTTACAAATTACATTTCTCTTCATAGCTTGTGATTGGCGGATCGTCTGGTCAGAATTCTTGTTATGAGAGGACAGGCGTGAGTCCAGAAAGTCAGTACGATACCAGACTCTACCCTCGATTACCTTCCTACGCATCTTCCTATCAAACGGATGCCAACTTGGACCCAACAACCACCTTCTATGCTCCAGCGCTTGTAAGTATTCTTTTTATTTTCATGTAAGGATTAGCAACTGCTGTTATTCGGACTGTATGGGTGAATTCGATTAAAAACTCCAAACTAGCATATTTATCCCGAAAAATTATTTTGATAATCGAAATAAAACCTCTATAGTTCAACGAAGGTATCAAACTATTCTGACAATTCTATCTACTTAACAGTCTTTTGCTCAAACCTATGCCTAATGGCTTTGAGTATTTCTACGCAACGACGCTAGGTTTCTCACAACTATAAATGTCCTGCTTGCGTGGATGATTTCTACGGAACCATTGGTCAGAATTTCAGAAAAGTTTTATCAACTGTGTAGATTCCAAGTTAGTTTAATATAAGCAACCACCCTGCCTGTCTAAAAAATTTTAGAAATTATCTTTAATTTTGTTAAAAAATAATTGGTTTTGGAGTAGTGAAATTTAAAAATAAAGGTATACTGCTTAAAAAAAATATAATTCTTTTTTTAACATAGGTCGTTCTAATTGTATATTATTCTTCTATTTTGAGAAAAAATACTAATTTGTTTACATAATGCTACCCTCAGTACATATTACAATACTATGTGGATTACAAAAAAGGGCATTTTTATTTAAAATATTCTTGCTCGCGTACGGGTTCGTAATAGATTGAATGCGCAAGTCTGATGAAAAGTTAATAAAGTTCCTTCTTATCACAAGAGATAAAACAAAATGCTGAAATTTTTCCTTACAGATATTCGCACAATATCCCAATATCACACAGTAGTTATATTTTAAACTAATAAAACTTTATATAGAACAGAATTCAAAGTGCAGAGAAATATAATCCGATCTCATCACAATTCGCTACAGTAAACAACAACAGTTATCTAAACAACTGAACCGAGATTTTTTCTCCGGCTTTTACAAGCTTTTTAGTCAGTCACGGCAAGCTTCCCGTAAGCATATTTCACAAGTGCACATCAGCATAGCCACTGAGGGAGGAGTTTCGAAAATGGTTCAATGAGCTTCTATTGCTCTTGTGAAGCTAAATCTTCCTACAAGTGAGCGTATGTTGTTTCCGTTTCAATTTGCATTTGTTTCAAAGTTATAAATGTATGGCGTAATAGTAGAAAATCTCGTTGTGCTTTCATTTTACAAGTATAATTAATCACTGACATTTCACTGTCGCGATTTTTATCACGCATTAATATTTGGATTGATGTTCACGGCATATTATCGCTCTTTACATCACGAAAATGACTCAAGTACAACGAGCCTCGAATATTATGTATTTACTAACACCTGTGGATTAATAGAATTCAAATGCATAGTTTTTTTGTTTTTTTTTTTTAATTGAGCTGAGAAGGACTGGAAGTGTTACAATGAATCTAGTGTTTTCTTATTTCAGTGCTTGCATTCTTCTGATTTTTAAAGTGTAAGATTCAGAATACATATTGTGTATAACCTGATTATATCCATTGTTAACATTAAAAGTTATATGTTAATAAATTGAATATATTCGTTGTGAATAAGATAAATTCATTCTGTTGAGTATTTGTGTAGACAGTATATTTAACAGTGAGCAGTTATTGTATGTGAAATTTAACACACTAAAATGCATACGAATGCAAATTAGTAAAGTTCACTTTGAATAAAATTCTTCATTGGCTATTATTATAAAACATCTTTTTCATATAGACTGCAATAAAAAGTGCTGACTTCTATTTACATATATAATTGGTGTAAATATTTTTCTCATATGCACAGCTTTATGTAAAGATAGCATTTGGGCTCAGATGTTAATGACATATTTCTTTCTTCATCTTATTTACCACTTATTAAGTAATATTTCACATGGATATTTTTGCGGAGTGTCCAAAATGGATTTTTATTTATTTCAAATGCTTTCAACCAAGTAGTGAAATCTTCACAATTGCTTAGATTTGAATCTAACTTGGCAGTGAAAATTTTCAGAAGAAATCGACGATGGTTTAATTATTTTGTACAGAAAATTGCGTGGCAAAATATTTTCAACCATCTTGCTTAAATCTTAAAGCACGCGAAGGGTCATGTGACATGACAGAAATATTACTGGATGTTCATTCCATTCATTGGTCCATCCTAGAAGCCACTCCCTCGGTGGCTACAGAAATGTGCACTTGTGAAATATGCTTCCCGTAATTTCTCTATGTTTCTGGAAAGCAAAAAAAGCAGAATTACAGTTACAGCTAACACACAATTGTATTATTTCAATTTAAATATAAATTACGTGATATCTATTTATTAAATGCGCATGCTCCTGTATTTTTAATTTTTTGGCGTAGCTTTCTCTTAAAAGTCTCCACGCGCTGCATTACACTGGGACATAAAAAAATTTTGATTACACTTTACCAAAAATAGATAACTAAATACAAAATCCGTAATTATATTTTAATACTTGGTATATAAAACAAAAGTATCAAACAATTATTAATAGTATCGAAATATGTATACGAAATGTCTCCCTCATAATCCTGTTATAAAGATGTTGTGTTTCAAAATGTGTTGTGGTTTATGTAATTTTGATATTTTAATGTTATCTGATTTCTTAAGGTACTTGTCATTCTGCGCACTATAATATGAACATTTTGTTAAAATCTGTATTTGTACAGTTCAGTAGCTCAAAATTTTGCAAAGAAAATTAATCCTCCATTTAATACAAATTAATAATACTGTTCTAAGTTATGAAAAGTTAATAAAAAAGTGTGGTTTTATATGGAACTGCTTCAAAACTATATAAACTACCGTTAACATATCTAACAATGAATGTTTGTTGTGCACAAGTGCCACTAAACCTTGCGTTTCGTCTAAAATTTACGTAACCCGCAATATGTGGGAGCCTAAATTTGCACTAGGGGATGCTGCGGGAAAATTTTGCACTGTAAGCTCTGTTTCGAATAGTTCAACCAATCGGAAGAAGATGATACTTAATTATATTATATATCTAGGAAGCCTTCCTTTATACTTCTACGAGGGAATCTTTCTCGGAGAAGTTTCTTGTCCATGAGAAGTTGATAAATTATTGTCTGAATTATTAATTAACTTCAGACACAGGCACATTAAAACTAAATAACAGTTTATTTAGTCACTTCTAATGGGGAAAAATTAAAATGAAAATATACAACACGAAACAGAGGCGCTAACTTATCGACGATGTATTAAATTGAGAAGCGACTTTTTTTGTTGAGGATTACAGGATGTGGAAACAAGTTTCACTTCGAATACATGTTTTCCTACCAACTGGCACAGCAAGTGGGAATAATACGGTCTCGGACAAATGCAATTGGCTTTGAGTGTCTCCGAGGGAGCTAGTAGCGTTTACTCCCGTACGCAGAAGTTATTCATTTATCTAACATTATGGGCTCTTACTTGCATTACAGTCCTATCGAAGCAACTGTAAGTAACGTGAAACATTTGGCAGTAAGATAGTTTTTAATTGTTTAATTTAAGCTTAATTGGGAGCAAAACTTAAAAATGTTTGTAAACCTAAGTTTACAAACATTTTTATTAATATTAGTTATTATTATTAATATAATTATATTTTTATCATATTTTATAAATTATTATTATATTTGTTATATTATAATATTTTTATTAAATTAATTATTAAAATTAGTTATGAGTTGAACTTAAAATTAATTGCTGTGGACAAAGTAATGTAAAACAAAAGCTGTTTACAAATTGAAGTGAGGTCATGTATTAGTATTTTAGAAAATGTTAATAAATATTTTACATACAAATAATTTCAGTAAAGGCGAGAGTAAGTTAAAAAGAAGCAGTTATTTACAACATTAACATTCATATTCGTTCAATAAAATATTGTTCCTATTGTAGAAAAAGGAATATAACTTTTGTATCACATTGTAAATTTTGATGAATTTTCGTTATTTTCACTTGAAAATTTATTAACAAAACTGATAATCTTTGCTCATTCTAAGAAAACCGACGATATTTGACGTAGATTTTATTTTTGCAGAACTGCTTTCAGCGATTCAAACACTATGCCCTTCCGTACTTGTAAATAAATGAAAAATATATACTCCCCCCCCAAAAAAAAAATAGAAAGAGAAAACGAAAAATACTCTAGGATATACTGATGAAAAACCACTGCGTTTTCTATAACGAAGCGAGAAAAGAAGTATCGAGTGTTGGGGGGGCAGTGATGATATCTAGGGATTGAAATGCAGTTAGGAATGGTCTGTTTCTGTTTACAAATTTGTACGAAAAATCCAAAACTTGAGCCATTGACTAATGTAGAGAGGATTCCATGGCTATGGAAAGCATCAAAGAAAGTTGATTCACGCAGTGTGTGTATTTAATTATGGCAAAGAACACTAGGGCTATCTGCCTAAGGGGAGGGATGCCTTCGTGGAGGACTTTCTAAGGGAAACTGGCTCGTATACACGTTACACATGGGGAAAACCACGAAAACGCCCATGCAGCCAGCCCGTTCGCGGGATTCGAACCTCGGACCGAACTACAAGTGTTTAGCGACTTTACCGCTCGGCCGCTGGTGGGCCTGATTCACGCAGAGGAAATCTTTTTTGGATGATTTTGGAATTTGTGGTTTGCAATCCAAGAATGTTTAGCAGTAGTTAATTTAAGATTCCTGTTGCTTGATGAGAGATTTGAAAGCTGTCCCCTTTTTTATTTTCGTTCAATGCATATGAAATCGAACTGATGACAAATACTGTAAATTCCCTAAGTCTTCATGTCAGGAATAGAAACTTTAAGAACAGAACTACATATTTTATTGACAGAAGCAAATACCGTGCGAAAGCTGGAGTTCTATAAAATACGCATCAATTTGTCACTGATAGCGAAAGAGAAAGTGGTAACAGCAAAATTATTAAATTAAATTATTTTTATTAAATGGAGGAAAATCATTTTTATCAAAATTGGAATAATTTTCAACTGTTTTATCAGTAACTTGAGAAGTCGCTATCGATTGTAATCGTTGTTGAAATGCTCATTCTGAATGAAAGG